GAACGTTCCCCTGAATCACTCTATATCTGTATAGCTGTATTTGACAAGCATGACACAGTAAGTAACGGTACCTCCCAACCCAGGCGGTACCCCTGTGAACACAGCTGGGTGCCCGAGACTTCACTGACTCCTCTACAAAAATGATGGGGTTGGATCCTGTGAATTCCTTCTGGTTCTAATGGTACATGGTTCAATGACAACTTTGAGCAGGAAGCAAACTCTTGGCTCTGACCTTGTTACTTCTTGGGAATATTGGCCGACAGACACCCTTCCCAGCTCTCTCTCAATATGTTAAGACTCAGTTGCACAGCTGGTCTGGGAACAAAGGCGGAACAGAGAAACCAACTTGCAAAGCCAAGTGGGTAACACCCTTTGCCTGGAGAGGTGGCTTCAACCACAGCCTGTCCATCTGTCTCCCAGACATTTTGTCCAGAATGAGCCCAGACGCCTTCGTAACTGGGAAGCCCGGGCGATCTCATCACAGGCCGAACAAGCCAGCACCCATACCTGGGCGTTGTGGCAAAAGGATGTGGTGTCAGCCCGTTGGCAGGCAGGGGTTGCAGTGACTCACATCTAACAGCTGGGCTTTCTTTGTGAGGACACGCTCAGCTGGTGCTCCTGGGGTGAGGGCTTGGGAGGGGGACTGGCTGGGACAGGACTCGCCGCCAGGGGCTTGACCCTCCTGGCTCTCTGGGCAGCCAGTGCCCAGAGCAGCTCCCCATCCCACTGTGCCCCACTTCCTCTCCCTGCTGGAGGAGCTCTGGCCCTGTGGGACTATTTCTCCAGAAGCTGGGAGCTATATGATTCTCACATCACTAAAGTTATGAGTCATTATGAAAATATTTTTAACTGTCAGGAAGAACAAAAATTGTTTTCAAAATAACGCCACGTGCCAAACCCAAGCCCTGCCAGCCGTGTTACGGTGACCCATTCCAGGCACACCCACCTCCTTGATTTGCTCTGAGGTAATAGGCTTGTTCTGGGTATCGATTGCTCCTTCGGCCACAATGATGATATTCAGCCTTTTTTTTCGGGCTCGGTTCTAAGGAAACAGAAAATGAAGATCCTAAAATGCCTAAACTATTCTTAACAACAGCAAAGCCGAGGCAGGGCACCACCCCCACCCCTTGAACTGGCCTCTTGCCAGGTAGAACCGTCACCTAATTTCACAAGCTGCTTCCTAATGACACTGAAAGAAGGTGAAGGTGCTCTGGGGGAGGGGACAGGAAGGGGCCTTTGAGACCTGGTGATGTCACCGCACATGAGGTGGGCACCCAGGCAGTGCCCCAGGCAGCGCTGCCCCCAGAGGCTGGCTCCCCCAGCCCGTCTCTCTGCAAGCCAGCTCCTCGTCTCCTTCAGAAACCAGACTTCCCACCACCTCCCGGGAACCCAGCCCCGACCTGGGAATTCTCCGCCATTGGGACCACAAGACACTGTCCCCAGGCCTGGGCAGGAGGCAGGTGGGCACAGAAGGGAGGGCAGGAGAACGCACAGCCCAGCCGGGCCGGGAAGCCACGCTGCCACCCTCCTGACAGGGACAGCCATGAGGGGGCTGCTGGGACTCCGGGGCTGCTGCCCTCATGGGCTCAGGGCAGTCACCCGGGGCGCCCTGAAATCACTCTCAGCCAGTTTGTGCTCTACAATGCCGCACAGGAAGGACCCCCGGTGGTGGCGTGAGCAGTGTGGGTCAGTGAGGTCCAGGGGGGCCGTGCTGGAGCTGCCCCTGCCAGGAGCCCAGAGGACGTCCCCCAGGTGCGCTGTCCTCACGAGGCTGCCCCATCCATGTTGGGGTCACAAATACATGTGATTTTGGTTTTGGGGGGGCTTTTAATATAGACATTAATAGGTGTGCTACACCTTGAAGCATGTATTAGTCAGAAACATTTTCAAAAAGGTGTAAAGATGGCGCTACGAGAGTGTATATTTTAGTGTCGTCTGAAAATGCAAAAACGGAAGTAATGACACGTCCAGAAACAGGGGCTCGTCCACACACACCACGCCTCATCCATCACACACAACATCCCCGAGCAGCCTTGTCTGCGCACCTCCCGGCCCCCACGCGGACCAATGAGTTCACTCACTGCCCCGTCCCACCATCACTAAGGAGCCCCGCAGTGCAGCTGAGGAGCGTAGGACCCTGAAAGGTGAGCCTTGTGCCCAAAGTCACCCTGGGAGTGACAAAGCCAGGACCCAACTCCTTCCCAGTCCTACACTGAAATGCCTGTGAGATGTGGTGGCGCCAGGGGATCACTTCCTGGGCCAATTTATCCAGCGAGATCCTTGGAAAAGCCCCTGCAGTGCTGCATTAACCAACAAAAATCAGTGACAGGTACAACATTACAGGTAGTGTCCCATGTGAGGTAATTAAGTGGACATTCTCCGCGGCACACAGGAGTGCCGCCCTCATCTCACACAACCAGCACCAACTGGTTGGCAGAGAACACCACCAGGTGCCCAGGTCAGAATGGGAACCAGTGCACTCAATGTCACGCCGGCGGCCGTGTCTGCTTCGGGCGCTTCCCAAGTCACCGGTCTGCTTACAGCTAAGAGCTCCAACTTCAGACAGGGGCGTGATTCTTCTGGGGGGAGTGGCATCTCTAAGCAAGTTTCTTACGCAGGGTTTTAGGTCAGCAAAGCTTATCTGGTACTCCCCCCACATCGGGGTTTCTGTCCTGAAAGCTGAACGCTGTTCTAAGGGACACCTCACGTACCTTCCTTAGAGGTACATTCACCTTACATGAATATCCAATGTGACACGACTGTGCCACAAATGACAGATGGTAAAGAAAAGACTGCTTCAGAGTAATTCGCCCACAGCCAGGCCTGATGGCGAGCCCAGTGCAGTGGGGACACAATGACAGAATCATCATGACATGTTCTGCAGTGTTCTGGGGAATAGAGATTAAATGCAAGTCTGCTCACACTGCTGTTTGGAGACAGAGCGGGGAACTGCTTTCTCCCCAGCTCTGATTTCGTTCAGTGGCCGCAGCGAGAAGGTCCCTCCTCTACTTAGAATGTCAACATCTGCTTTGCACAGAGCATGCAGCCACCGCTGTTTGTCTACCATGTTGGGAAGTGGGTGCCCGTGTGAACAGCCAATGTATGTAGGTCCCCCCACCCACCAGGTGACCAGTGTGCATTCACATTAGAACCCAAAAGTCCCCACTTGTGGAAGGTCCTGTCCAAACTGAACACTGTGAAGGTGCTCACCAGTGCCGCCAGCTCAGTGTGACCTGCATGGTGGGCAGCTGAGGAGGCAGCGTCCCCCTTACCTCTGACAGCTTGACACACATCCTCTCCTGCCAGCCTTCCTCTGGCGGAGATTCCGGAAGGAACAGCCAGTCAGCCCCACAGGCCAAGCCGCTCACCAGAGCCAGGTACCTACGTGGTAACAGCAAGGACCTGGTAAGGCTGCCCCTGGCACCCAGAGCTCAGGACGGCTGGGGCGTGCCTGGGACAACCAGCTGACCCCCCCACCCCCCAGGGGGGGGCATTTGCTATGGATGCAGGGCTCTCTAGGGTCTGAGGGAGGGTCCTTTCCACCCAAGTGGCATCTGCCCGTACGTACCCGCAGTGTCTCCCCATAACCTCCAGAACAAAGGTCCTCTGGTGGCTGCAAAAGAGACAGGAAATGTCCACTTACCAATGCTGGGGGCAGCATGGGGCACAGAGACGAGAGCACACAGCCAAGCTGAACAAAAAAGCCGCTTCATAATCACGGCAGGGACCAAAGTCTCCAACAGGGGACGCGTTTCCTACAGAAGTAAATGCTGTCGCAAGAGCGTCTCACTCTTGTGAGTAACGGAGCTCGGGCAGCGAGCACACTTTCTGGTTCCCTATATTATAACATATGGTCACCTGTCCCCAGACATACTAACACTCCAGAACACTGCCATGCTCTGCCCAAGACCGTGGCCTCCTGGGTACACTCAGCCACTCCTCCTGTCCAGCACTGCGACTGGACACAGCCCACAGCAAACCCGAGACAGAAAGCTCGGTCAGTGCACAGTGATTCCGGAAAATCTAGCTGCTGCAGGTGGCCCTTGGGCACCCTGGAGAGATGACATGGCTTTCCCAGGCCCTGGGATGAGTCAGTCTCAAGGTCCTCCTGAACGAAATGGGACATGTGTGTTCTGCTGACTCTTACACATTGTGACGAGAGGTTCAGAAATTCTAGTGTCATCTAAGGAGTTACTAGTAATGATTCTGCCAGGAGTCTGTGTCATCATGGATAAAACATCACCATTTCACCCACTTTGGCACATGGCAGGTTAGAAATGTAACAGTGCAGCGACGCATGCCCATGCCACTGACACGTGTGTGGCAACACACACACACACTCTTACTTTCCGCTATTCCTGCGGGAGACCTCTGGGCAGGACTCCAGATAATGATGGCTTTGTCTTCTGTTTTCTAAATTCTCTCCAATTAACACATTTTTCTTCTGTAATTGGGGGTAGGGGGATGACTAACTTCATAAAATTGAAAAATAAAAAGTAAACTAGAGAACAGTTTTCTTGCACTGTTTTCTAACACTGAAGTGACAAGACTTGCACCAGGACACCCTCTGTGGAACCTTCCAGAGTCAGCATTAGAGCCCACGCCATGGCTCACCACACCCCATGCTGCCCATCCACCCACCCTCCGGTCCCTCCAGGTGGGCCTACCTCTGGGCGGTTGTCATGATGGCATCCACGACTTCGATGATCCGGTGCAGGGCAGAGTCTGTGCCGATGGTCATGTCTGTGCCGCAGAAGTCGTTGTCGATGGAGCCCACCATCCCCACGACGTTGAGGTGCGCGTACTTCTCCACCTCCCGCTTGTCAATTTTGCCTGCAGTGGACACAAGCCACAGCGTCCATCACTGGGAGCAGCTCATCCATCTCCCTGGGTGGGACACAGCATGGCCTTGTGCGGAGGGACCAGCCATTCTGGATGTATCTTCTACCTATCGCATTGTTTTCTCAGAGCTCTGCATGACCGAATTCTGTACATTCATGGAAATAAAATCCAGACAACGGTGGGCACGGTGAATGGACAGTAGCTGTCATAGATGACAGCATGGGGTGCAAAATAGGAGAAAGAAAAGGGTTTACACCATGCAATCAGTGGATCAAATCTGACTTGTCCGGTAACAGCCCAGGAGAACCATGTGGCTCTGCATGTGAACACGTGACAATCACAGAACTGAGTACTTGAGAATATCACATAAACATCACAGTGACTTCTCATAGGCCCATGGTGGCGTCTGCTTAGCGCTCTCAGGAAAGCCTGATGGGACAGGCAGATCAGAGTGGGGGGCAGCTCCGGCCAGGACCCAGGCGGTTAGTCCTCATCTGTCACCACCAAGCCCGCATCAGACCAGAATATAGTGGACAAAAGATGCCGTGAGGCCCCTGCTGCTCGGGTCTGACGGCCACTTTCTGTCCCCCAGTGGATTTTACAGAACTCGGGGCACATGCCCGTGTGCTTTACGCCTTTTGCAAAGCGGCTGTCAGCTCAGGTCATATTTTGTGTTCACCTGGAATCATGTGCCAGCACTTCTACCATAGCACAGCGAAGTAATATTCTTATTATTGTGACTATCTGAGGGCCAGTTTAAGTCCTGAGGTGGTCACTGTAAGATCTGGAATACCACAAATACCCTGGGACAGTGAAGCAGGTGGTGTGCATGAGGTCAAAGCTCTCTGAAGGGAAAGAGGGACCAAAAGCGGGGACAGAAACCCTAGGAGAGAGATGCATGCAGACACAGAAACGGACCATTTTGGGCTAGCTCTTCCAGAAGCCCGCTCCATTCCTCCCGGAAGATATTGGCCCCGGTGAGACTTCCGTCCCCTCCGATCACACATAGGTTGGTGATGCCCAGCTGGACCAGGTTGTAAGCAGCACTCAGGCGGCCTTCCCGAGCACGAAAGGCCTTGCAACGGGCGCTGCCAATGATGGTCCCTCCCTGCGAAAGAAATGAAATCCCATTATCTGTCTCCTTCTGACTGGACACGAAGCTGGAGAGATAGGCACATGTCAGCGCTGATGTATACACAGGACTTTCCAATGGGATTTCCCTCCTCTTAATCTTTTGAGTTGGTACACCATGAAAGCTTGTAGTTATCCCATTTTTAGCTTCATCCTAGAATTCAATGATCAGAGACACAGGCAGCATGCCTGGGGGGGAGCCAAGTAGGGTATGGAAACAAGGACAAATGGCAGCCGTCAGTGAAGCATGCAGAGCAGAGTCTGCAAGGTGACAACAGCCACCCAGGAAACCGGTGGTGAGGTTATGCGGTGAGGTGGAGTGGGCCCCCTGCTCCCCGAGCCTAAGACAGGCCAGAGACGTGTGCACCCAATTGCCCCAGTAACGAGTCTTCCCCTCTAGCTGTCAGAGCTCAGCATGTGTGCATGCAGGCATAACGGACAGGAATCTGGGAGCCACAGGGATTTACCTTTCCCCTATCCCTCCCCACCTTAAAGGCCAAATCTTAAGAAAACTTAAGTTCGGTCATCCAAACTTTCAGAAAGACAACTCATGATCTCTCCCACTCGGTATTTCCAAAATGAAGTTGTATTCCAAGTTGTATTTAGAAAAATGCAGGGCTGCCTTACACACATCACGGGTCACTTATAACAACGGTGTTTGCACATGATCCTTCAAGTGCATGTTCAGTTCTGGGAGCTCAGTCGTCATCAGCAATGACCCTGTGCTAATAATGGGCAGTATCACGGGGACAATGGTATGGCACAGCACAGGCGAGCCTGGGGCAGCAGGTGCAGGGCACAGAGCAAAGGTCAGCTGGCTCTCCGGACTTTCATTTGACCAAGAACGATTGAGGGTCACGTAATTCCTGACGACTGGAAGTTAAGCCAGCAGCACTTAAACAGGGAGGAGATAGCACAGACAGGGCCTTAGGGGGGAAAGTGGGACCCATTAAGATGCAGACCAGTAGGCAACACACACACATGCAAACACACACACATGCATACACACGTGCACACATGCATGCATGCACACACACCACAACCACACTTGTATCTCCTATCTTTTGCACAATCACAACAGCAGAACAAAAATGTTCTTTTCATACACAGTGTGCTGTCTGGGATTCAAATGACACTATTCTGATTTTCTGCCAATATCACTGTCTCTAAGTATTGATGGGTGACATACTTTCCTTCAGTCTCTATCCAGGAGAAATGGGGCAAAGAAGGCCCACGTGCAGACTTACAGATCTGTGGCTGGCATAAACTGTGCACCCCACGATCACCCCCAGCTTTACTAAGATGTACTTGACATGCAAAACTGTAAGTTTAAGGTGCACAGCCAATGAGTTGATACAGGTGTAGAGGGTGAAATGATGAGCACAATAAGGTGAGTTTATACATCTATCGATGAGTATAATTACCTTTCTTTTTTTGTGGTGAGAACATTTAAGATTTACTCTCTTAGCAACTTTCAAGTATATAATACAACATTGTTAACCTTTTTAAAGTATATAACATGATGACTTCATATATATGTAGACACTGTGAAATGACCTCCACCATTAAATTAATCAACACATCGAGCACCTCCAAGTTACCTTTTGTTTGTGTGTGAGGTAAGAAGAGTTAAGATCTACTCTCCTACAGTTCAAGCATACGATATGGTACTGTTAACTACAATCCCCATGCTGTGCATTAGGTCCCCAGGACTGATTCATCTTATAAGTGCAACTTTGTACCCTCTGACCAATATCTGCCCATGTCCTCCTCCCCCAGCCCATCTCTGTGTCTATGAGTATAGTGTTTTAGGTCCACATGGAGGTGATATCATGCAATGTTTGTCTTTCTCCATCTGACTTATTTTAGTTAGCATAATGCCCACAAGGTCCATCCATGTTGTCCCATACTGTGGGATTTCCTTCTTTTTTTAAGGCTAAATAATATTCTATTTATTTTTCATATATTGTCCTATATTTTTTCCATCCATTTCATCCATTGCACTAGCACCTTCAGAGAGAATGTACCAATTTGGTTCTTTCTATTAAAAAGCACCCAACAGGAGTCACAGGTGAAGACCTGTTTCAAAGATCAAATTTCACAGTTCATGAAATCTGTCCTCTCCACATAATCTCTATTTCTCAACAGTTTGGAGCCTTCACTAAGCTGGTGTCCCAGGAATTTAGCAGGCATGGTAAAATATAAAACATTCAGGCAGGGTCTTGTAAATTCAAAGGCAGCAACTGTTTTTCCTCTTCAGGTGGTGGTTACCATTCTTTGGGCACTACGGTCTGGGGTCAGCAAGGACAGGGTGTGTGTCTCTCTAAACCCATACCCCTTGGAGGCGATGGCTTTGTCCCTCCCAGGCTTTGTTACCTGCTGCCAAGGGACTCGAGGAAACCCAAGGGCACAGAGCTTGACCACCAAACATACAGCGCCAACAATCCAAAGCTGCCTCAACATTGATCTGGTTTTAGAAAAACAACAACCCCACCCCCTGAAATCTGCTAAAAGTACCACGATGAACTCTATCCACGACACACAACTTTACTGCCAGGATAATTCCTCCATTGGCATGATGTAAAGCTTTCTAAAAAATGTAATGAAATGACACTGAAGGTGAGGAGGACAGGCAGCACCCAGATGTGTGTGACGTCTGACAGGAGCATAAGTGTGAACAGGCTGCAGACGGCGTCTTCCTCACAGACAGACTGACAGACCAACAGAAGAGAGCACTGCCCCGGCACGTACCACCTGCAGGATGCTGGACACGCTTTCCCAGTCCGCTTCCACGATGTTGCTGCCGCCATCCACCATGCCTTGGTAGCCCTGAGGGGAGAGAATGGAGACCCTTTATACCGGGGTAAAGTTTGTCACAGCATTAATTGATCCTAAATGACATGAGATGGAAATACAGGTGATCATGAAGCTCAGTGTCCAGGAGCCCCGTGGTCAGCAGACATGCACCCTACGAGTGCTGCCCAGAGCAGTCAGTGCTGGGGAAGCCCCTGAAACTTAACTCCAATGGTGGGACTGTCCACCCAGCCTTGCCCAGAGCCCTGTTGCCTCACGGTGCCTGAGAGATTGACAAGGGACACACCCGCCCTAAGACTGTGTGTAATGTAACACAGATGCACAGAAAACAGTGGTGCCAGTCACATTCCTGTAGGGCCTCTGTTGGCCCAGGCAAATCCACACTGCTTTCCATAAAAAGGAAATGCTTTTCAAAAGTGCAGCTCAGTGCTACCCCAGTCATTCATGGTGCCTACCTTCCTACTGCTGACCTCACACTACACTGTGCGTGAATCAGGGTGCCAGTGCACACGTTTGCCTGAAACCCCAAAACCATTACCTTTCAACTCTAAATGCATCTTGCTTTTCCCCATAGAACATATAAAATCAAGACATACAGAAATGTTCATTGGACCTTTAGCTCCATGACTCACCTTCCAGGGCATTTGCCCTGAAAACGGCATAGGCCTTAACAATTTAGAGAAGCTTACCAGATATCTAAAACACCTTGAGGGGTCCAAGATGGCGGATTAGGTGTACCTACCTCCTCCCAGGATCACACCAAAATTACACATAATTTATCAAACAATCAACCATGAGATTCATCTCAATGCCAGCTGAGCAGAACCACTAAACTAAGGATATAGAGAAGAGGCCAAATCGAGGCTGGTAGGAGGGGCGGAGACGTGAGGCAGGCTGACCCCAGGCCCATGGAGAGGGGGTGAACACCAGGGGGGACACCTTGAAGCAGAGGTGCCCCCTGAAGGAGGGCCCCATCCCCCACCCCATTCCAGGCTCCCGGCCCAGGGGTCCTGGGCTGGAAAGGGGAGTCCCCACACCATCTGAAAGTGGAAATCAGTGAGGACGCTTTCTGCTCATCCCGATGGGAAGGAGGGCAGCTGGAGGCCCAGAGCCCTCTTGTAGAGTCAGCACATAAACTTGCTCAATCGCAGGCACTCACTTGATCTCTGACAGAGGGAGTGGCAGCTCAGGGGTCCCAGGAGCCTGCAGGGAAGGGCTGAGCTGAGTGGCTTTGGAGCGGGAGCTGGAGGGACTAGGGTCATTGGTCCCACTGTGCAGAGTGGGCACACATGACTTATAGGAGGGTGCCATATTTTCAGGGTTAAGCCCTTCCCCAAAGGGCCAGGTCTGGGACCGCATTGGTCTGGTGGGATAGATGCATGTGTGCACGTGAATGCTGCCTTGCTGACACCCTGGGTGCCCATCTTCTGCACAGCTGGTGCTGCAATTGCCTACGAAATGCCTGACCTCTGGGCTGCTGGTCCCACTCCACAGGCTGTGGAATGGGACAGGTGGAAGGACTGCGGCCTTGGAAGAATATTTGCTGTAGGGAGATAGGCCAGGAGGTGTGCCGCTCCTCAGGACATTGTGTTCTCAGCACATTTTTGCATGCTGTTTGCCTGTGCAGGAGCAGAAACTGCACTGATGTAGAAGCCAGCAACCACACCCCATAGCACCCTGGGGGCCTGCCCCACCCACCTAGTGCTGCATTACCATAGGCATCCTGGGCACCTGGTGCCTCAGCCCTACCTCCATAGGACATGGAGTTTTTTGCGGCAGTGGACAACCTGCAGTGGCCTGGGAAGACTTTGGTGGTGAACAGTCTACCAGAGGCCACCACAGCTGCTTGTGGGCAGCTCCTGGGAGCCTGTGAGCCTAAGGTGGAGGCCGGCACACGTGTGGCTCGCAGCGAGGGGATGTCACTTTTTCCAGGTTGGGCCTTCCCCCAGGAGGCCAGGTCTGGGGCCCTATTGGTCTGGTGGAACGCCCCCGGGAGCATAGACTGCCTTGTGACAGGCTGGGATCCTGCCCTTCACACAGCTGGTTCTGCGACCTTCACACAGCTGGTTCTGCGATGCAGGAGAGACTCTTTACTGCTGGGTGGCTGGCCCCGTTCCACAGGCTGCATATAGATTAAAGCACGTGGAGAGCCTTTTATCTATTTTCTGTTATTTTCTGTTTTCTCTTTTCCTTTTTTGTTGCTATTGTTTTTCTTGTTTGTTTTGTTTTTGTTTTTTATTGTTTATTTGTTTTGTTGTTTTTGCATTTTTTGTTTGTTTTGTCTGCTTTGTGTGTGTGTGTGTGTGTGTGTGTGTGTGTGTGATTTTTGTTGTTGGTTTGTTTTGTTTTGTGAGGTGGTCACAGGCCCAACACTGGTCCAGGAGCTGAGACTACACTGAATTTGTAGAAACCACAGACCACACCCTTTAGCCCAGGTATACCGCCCCACCCACCTAAAGCTGCATTGCCAGGGGCACTCTGGGTGCCTGGGTGACCAGCCCTGTCCCCACAAACCATAGAGGAGGTTTTGTATAGCAGTGGATGGTCCACAGCAACCTAGGGACATTTTGTGGTGAACAGTGACACAAAACCATCACTGCAGCCACTAGGGAGCAGCTCTTGGGAATTTGTGAGCCTAAGGTGGAAGCAGGCTGCAGTGTCCTTGGGGCACTGAGCAAGGTGGTCACAGGCCAGGCACTGGTGTAAGATCTGAATCTGCACAAAAGGCACCAGAAACAAAACACCCAAAGGCCAGCTTCAGACCACACCGAGCACTACCTGCTTTGACCCAGAGGTGGCACACCCAAAGGGTGTCACAACAGGCACAAGAACCCATCGGGGTGAAGCCTTAGCCGAGGGGTCAGACCTCACACAGCAGCTCATACACTGTGGGCATAGTCAATTCTCATAGCTACTCAGCCTGGGTGTCAATCCCACCCACTAATAAGCCACAAGCAATCAAAGCTCAACTACAATAGAAGAGCACTCACAACACAAGGGATACCTCTGGAACACACACACAGGAGAATAGGGAGACTGAGCAATTCAAATATAAAGGACACATACTACATAAGTCCACCCGGCAAAGACTGAGAGACCTAGGGGATCTACCTGATACATCAAGGCAAGCACAAAGAGCCAGCCAGAATGAGGAAACAGAATCGTCCCAAATAAAAGAACAGAAGAAACCTACAGAAAAGGAACTTAATGAAATTGAGGAAGCCAACATACCGGATACAGAGTTTAAAGTACTGTTGATAAGAATGATGAAGGAACTTAGTGAGAATTTCAATAAAGAGATAACAAGCATAAAGATATAGAAACCATGAAAAATAACCAGTCAGAAATAAAAAATACAATAACCGAAGTGAAGAATATGCTAGAAGGAATCACCAGCAGATCAGATGAAGTAGAGAATCAAATCAGTGATTTAGAAGACAAAATAGAATTCACCCAATTGGAACAAAAAGGAAAAAAGAACAAAAAACAATGAAAACAGTCTAAGAGACCTGTGGGACAACATCGAGTGCAACAACATTCGCATCATAGGAATACCAGAAGGAGAAGACAGGGAGCAAGTGATCGAGAACATATTTGAAGAAATAATAACTGAAAACTTCACTAACCTGGCAAAGGAAAATGACATACAAGCCCAGGAAGTGCAATGAGTTCCAACCAAGTTGCACCCAAACAGGCCCACATCAAGACACATCATAGTTAAAATGGCAAAGATTAAAAACAAAGAGAATCCGGGCCGGCCGAGTGGCGCGATGGTTAAGAACTGGCTTGGGACACCTGAGGGCCCTGGTTCAGATCCCACATTTGATGGCCAGTGACGCTGCCCTCTACAGCTAAGATGCTGAACAACAGCTCAACCTGGAGCTGGGCTGCTGTGAGTCACCGGCGATGGTGTAGGCTGCAGCCCCTGTGGCAGTGGGTTGCCATGGGTTACCGTGTGTAGCCAGCAGCCAGAGTGAGCGGCCAGCAGCTGCAGTGAGCGGCCATCCAGAAGTTGGCGACTGATCTGCCTCGCCCGGGAAGAGCGCAATGATGGTGCCAACTTGGGCCAGTGAAGCAATGTCCTCCACAACTGGACTGAAGAACAAGGTGACAGCAACTTGTCTGTTCCCCTTCCCCCAATTCCCCAGCACTGTTCCCATTCCCCCAATTCCCCAATAAAAATCTTAAACAAACAAACAAACAAACAAAAAACCCAAAGAGAATCCTAAAAGCAGCAAGAGACAGCTAGTTTCTTACAAGGGAGCTCCTATAAGACTGTCAGCTGACTTTTCAAGAGAAAATTTGCAGACCAGAAGGGAGTGGCAGAAAATATTCAAAGTGATGAAAAACAAGGGCCCACAATCAAGATTGCTCTACTGAACAAGGCTATCTTTTAAAATTGAAGGAGAGGTAAATAACTTCCCAGGAAAGAGTAAGCTAAAGGAATTCATTACCACTAAGCCAGTATTGCAGAAAATGTTAAAAGGGCTTCTTTAAGCAGAAAAAAAAGAGGAAAACAATTTAACAAAGATCAGAAATACAAATAATAAAATAGCAATAACTATGTACCTATCAATAATCACTTTAAATGTAAATGGATTAAATGATCCAACCAAAAGACATAGAGTGGCTGAGTGGATAAGAAAACAGGACCCTTGCATATGCTGTTTACAAGAGATTCATCGCAGATCAAAAGACACATACAGGCTGAAAGTAAAGGGATGGAGCAATATATTTCATGCAAATGGAACTGAGAAACGAGCTGGAGCAGCAATACTCATATTGGACAAAATAGACTTTAAAACAAAGACTACAGTAAAAGACAAAGAAGGGCACTACATAATAATAAAGGAACTGATCCAACAGGAGGATATCTATGCACTCAATGTAGGGGCACTTAAATATATAAAACAGATATTGACCGACATAAAGTCAGAGATCAACAGTAACACTATCATAGCAGGGGTTTCAACACCCCACTGTCACCAATGGACAGATCCTCCAGACAGAAAATC